AAAACCCATATGCATAGTTTTCAAATTATTTTGCAGCAATATAAACTTATCTTTTGACTCAATTTTCCAAGGAATTTTTTAAGTACCCTGATATTTTTTGAAACCATGATCTCTTTGAGTATGCTGCATTTCATGTTCAAACAGCATGCAATGTGAAACATACTGATTGAATGAGTTAAACTCCTAGGATAAAACCTGGAACATTGATTAGAGGATGGAATGCAGTTCTCCTTGCTCTACTGGACTACGCTGGTGTGTACCTAATATAAAACCACCTGCAGAAACTGCTCTATGAAACTTTATGTTGCACAACCCATGACTTGGTTTCAGGTATCAACACAAGGGAATTTAGGGAAGCCATTGCTAGATACCCAAGCTTCACTAACTTAAGTGCACTAATTCAGGTTTCTTATGAAATTACAGTCTTACATGCATATTTCAAACACATAACTAAAATGTGTGGCAGAGTAATACAGCATAGCCCTGAAAATAATTTCCAAATGGATCTTTAAGAAAAGTACTCTAGAAACCTGTGCCCTCGCAGACTAGGAATAAGATAGTTACACAGTCAAGCAATACAGAGATTAACACCCCAACATAGCACAAAATAGTGTTGGACAAACAAAAGTTGACAAGTGATTCATAAGGCAGTACTATAAAACTCAAATGTCTTGTGGTAAGTAGAGAGTACATGGAATAACTGAATGAACATGGACTGTGATGAGGACAATACTAGAAGTAAAAGGTGCTGAACGAGTAGAAAAGATTGAGTACAAAGGTTTCTTGGAGGGGCTATGAGCTGGGCGTGGCAGCATGAACGAGCAGTTAGGATTCCTGAGTCCAAGCAGAGGTGGTAGTACTCTGAGCAAAGGGCAGCAGGGATATAATCCAGGGAATGTTCAGAATAAAAGGTGAATGGAGCACATTTAGTGTGAGCCTGAAGTACATGGCACAGCTGGTTAAGCCACCATCTGCAGTGCCTGCATCTCATGTGGGCACCAGTTCGAGTCCTGGTTGTTCCACTTCCAATCCAGCTCCCTGCTAATGCACCTTGGAAAGCAGCAGAGGGTAGCCCAAGGGCCTGGGCCGCTGCACCCACGTAGAAATAGGGAAAAAGCTCCCGGTCCCTGGCTTCTGCCTGGCCCAGCCCCAGCCCCAGCCCGTTGCTGCCATTTAGGGAGTGAACCAGTGTATGGAAGGTCTCTCTCTGTCTCTTCTCTCTCTCTCTAACTCTCTCAAATAAATACATTTTTAAAAGAAAAAGGAAGAGAAAGAAATACAGAAGATAAAGCTGAAAAGAGAGGTAGAAGTCAAATGGTGGATTGCTTTGAATGACCAAGTTTAGCATCTTTTCTGTAGGAGATGGAGCTTCAAATGTTTCAGCAGGATAGCGACAATGGGCTTTGGGGAAATATTTCTGAAGGGAGGCGGTAGAGATCAGAGTGCCCAAGGCAAGTAGGGTACTACAAAAACTCAGGTGACAGAAAATGAGAGACCAAAGTAGGGTGGTGGTGATGGGAGGAGGAAAGAATCCCAAGGCCATTTCAAAGGTAGATTCAGGACGGCAACGCGGCTCACTTGGCTAATCCTCCACCTGCAGCACCCCCGTTGGGGCGCCGGATTCTGTCCCGATTGCTCCTCTTCCAGTCCAGCTCTCTGCTGTGGCCCGGGAAGGCAGTGGAGGATGGCCCAAGTGCTTGGGTCCTGCACCCGCATAGGAGACCAGGAGAAGCACCTGGTTTCTGGCTTTGGATCGGTGCAGCGTGCCAGCTGCAGCGCGCCAAACATAGTGGCCTTTTGGGGGGTGAACCAACAAAAAAGGAAGACCTTTCTCTCTGTCTTTCTCTCTCACTGTCTAACTGCCTGTCGGTAGATTCAGCAGGAACTGATTAAGGCAAACAGGGAGTGAAAGAGTAAAATCTATATTGTGGTTCTGAGTGTGAAAGGCTATGTGAAGGTATTGAAGATGTTCACAAATTCCCAGATACCCCTCCAGCTGAGAGTTCAAATCTAATTTCCTTCCCTTGGAACCTGGAACTGGTCTTAACAACTCATTGTAACCAGTGGAATGTGGAAGAAGGGATACTACATAACCTGAGGCTAGATCAGAAAAGAAGTGGGCTGTTTCTGTCTTGTTGCATAGATGACATGTCCTAACCCATCTGTGCGCACTGCAATCTCTAGCTCAGGGGAGCCCTCTGCTTGACTTGTCCAAACCGAAGCATAGATGTGCAAGCAAAAAGAAAAAAAAGAAAAAACAACTTGCAGATGATTACTGCCTTGATGAACTGTTAATAGTGAAAGACAAATGGTAGAATCAATCCCAGAGAAACTGATTATTTGGCTTTCAAATACGAGAAGCATTCATCTCAAATGCTAGCTGAGTAGGAGTGCTGTGGTTTGCATGTGGTTTGTCTCCCAAAGGTTCATCTGCTAGAGGCTTGGTCCTCAGTCTGCAGCACTGAGGTGGTGGAACCTTTAAGAGGCGGAGTCCAGTGGGAAGTTATAAGGTCATTGCAGGCACTGCCTTTGGAGGGGATGAATGTTGGTCTTGTAGAGGGAGTTCTCAAGAGTGATTATAAAGCTGGGCCACTCAAGGCCTTATGCACGGCCTTTTCTGTATGTGACCATGTTCCTTCCTGCTTCTCTACCACATTGTGACACAGAGAAAAAGGCCTCTGCCAGCAGCCAAACTGATGGGATTTTCAGCCTCCAAAATTGTGATCTAAATAAGCCTCTTCATAAAACTCCCAGACTCAGCTATTTTTGTTATGGAAACAAATCAGCCTAATTTAACCTGGGTAAGCAGAGTCTAGCAGTGGACAGAAAGTAGTAGTAAGAAGATTGTTCCACAATATTTACATCTTTCTACCCAACCACACTTCTGACCACTACTATGCACATGTAATGCAGCCGGAGTTAGGTGTTCAGGCTATTTGGAGGTACACCTTGGTCTTCTAGAAGACTCAGAGCAGACATCTATAAGAATTTAAAAGAGAAACTCAGTTTGAAAACCAGCAGAATGATCTATTTTCCAAGTTATACAACTCACTCATTTTTCCAGACATAGCTTTATCCATATTAAATGTATGGTTACTGAAGGTCATGAAAACATGTGAACAGAAAATTCAAAATTTTATCTTAGTCCAATACCCAACCCCAATAATGTTTATGTTTTTATTTTTTAAATTTATTTATTTGAAAGGTAGAGTTACAGAGACAAAGAGGGAGACACAGAGAGAGATCTTCCATCCTCTGATTTACTCCCCAAATATCTTCAGCATCTGGAGCTGGGCCAGGCTGAAACCAGGAGCCAGGGGCTTTATCTTGGTTTCCCATGTGGGTGCAGTAGTCCAAGGACTTGGCCCATCCTCTGCCGCTTTCCCAGGTGCATTAGCAGGGAGCTAGATTGGAAGTGGAGCAGCCAGTACTCAAAACAGCATCCATATAAGATGCCAACGTCACATGTAGTTGCTTAACCCATTACACCACAATGCCATCCCCCTCCCTCCCCCCAACCCCCAATAGTCTTAAACAGAACTAAATAGGCTAGCAGATCCATATCAGAAATGACCATTTTTAAAATAATATCAGTTATTTGGACATTTGTTTCTCTATGCTGTTTTCCCCAGTATCAGCTTTACTGAAGCATTATTCATATGTACAGTAAAATTCCATGATTTGAAGTATCAAGTGCAATGAGTTTTAATAATTGTATGTGTACACAGTCTAGTAATCACTGCAATCAAGATAAAGAAAATTTCCATCACTTCAGAATATCCTTTTGTTCCTTTCACAAACAATTCCCCAGCCCCAGGCAATGATTGGTCTGCTTTCTGTTACTAAGTTTTCTTTTTTATAAGATTTTTGGCTTTTTAATTTTAATTAGCTTTTAATAGATTAATGTACTTTGTAGATCCAATTCTAAGAACATAATGATACTCCCTTCCTCCCTCCCTCCTGGTCATTAAGTGTTGACTTTTCTAGGCTTCTATAAAGTGTCATCATATAGCAAGCTTCTTTCCTTTGGCATAATGTTTTTGGTATTCATCCATGTTTTTGCATTGATTAGTAGTTACTCCTTTCCATTACTGAGTAGTATTTTAATGTGTGCATATATCACAAATTATTTATTCATTTGCCTGCTGATGACCACTTGGGTTGTCAGTAATTTTGGCTATCACAAATTAAGTTAGAGGGACCAATGCTATTGCATAGCCAGTAAAGCTGCCACCTGCCGTGCTGGCATCCTATATGGGCACCAGTTTGTGTCCCAGCTGCTCCACTTCCAATCCAGCTCCCAAAGGCTAATGTGCCTGGGAAACCAGTGGAGGATGGAAAGTCCTTGGGCCCCTGTATGCACATGGGAGACCCAGAAGAAGCTCCTGGCTCCTGGCTTTGGATTGGCCCAGCTCTGGCCGTTGCAGTCATTTGTGGAGTGAACTGGCAGATGGAATATCTCTCTCTCTACCTTTCAGAAAAATAAATAAATCTTAAAAAAAAAAAAAAAAAGAAGAAGAAGATGAAGAAGAAGAAAAAGGTTAGGGCAGGCATGTGGTGCAGCAGGTTAAGCCGCCCCTTGGGAAACTCATATCCTACATTACAGTGCTGGTTCAAGTCTTAGCTATTCAACATTTCCAGTCCAGCTCAGTGCTAATGCACCTAGGAAGCAGAGGACAATGGCTCAAGTACTTGGGTCCTTGCCACGCACATGAGAGACCCAGATGGAGTACCTGGCTACTAGCTTCCACCTGGTCCAGTCCCAGCTGTGTAGCGATTTGGGAACCAAACCAGCATATGAAACATCTCTCTCCTGTCTCTCCCTTGCTCTGTCATTCTGCCTTGCAAATAAATAAAGTTTCAAATAAAAAAGCTGTTATGATCACAGGATATATATACATTTCTCTTGAATAAAATACCTAGTAATGAGGAACAATGCCTTTTATACTAAAAAACACTTGTGGTTTACCCTATCAATTATTCTGACAAAATGAAGCATATAAAATTTTCTTATTTTATTTCATAATAAAATTTATTAGATTTATTGTAAAACAGTTGAAGAATTTATACATTTTCCAGCCCTAAAAGAGTCACACACAATCACATATATTCAATATATGCCAGGACAGTGCTTAACATATTTGAGAATCTATTCCCTATAATCTTCAATACATTATGAATCAAATAAAATAATATGCTCATGTTATAAACAAATAAGTTGTACATTAAGAATCCTGTTGTGATTTTTCTCTTAAGAACATAGAATTGTAGACTCTCTCATTTGAAAATGAGGATGATCTCACTTAGTTTTATAAAGAAATATTTGTATAAAATGCCTACATGGCTTCTCATTTAAGTTACATCTGCTTTAATTAAAGAAAGAAAATACTACTCATTTCATTTTCCAAATGAGAGAGATTTCCTAAATTTACAACATCCTAGGATTGTTCTTGGTCTGAAGTTCCATGTAGAAATGTCTGGAATAGCAAACTTTAAGTATCAGAATACAGGGATATAAGCTTTACACTCAAAAGAGCAGAGAATCCAAATATTAACAAATTACAGTTCCAGAAAAGTCAAAAATACAACCTAGACATCCCCTGTTTAAATAACATAATTGTCACTTTAAAGTTAAAACTACAAGTCACTGAAACATAGCATATGCAGAGATCAGGAAAATTCCAAGTGTTCCTAAATAACTATCATTATAAAAATGAATATTCATTTTATAATACACAGTCTCTGGAGAAAAATACATAAAGATTATATCAAAGAGACTTCTGTCATAACAAAGTAAAACTTTAACCTTCAATGTATGTTCTAAAATTACTAAGAAGGTTCAACTTCACAAAATTAATGAAAATAAAATGTAGCCAACATCAGTGATTTTTGTGACACAAACTAAAACTTAAAAAAATACATAAAACAAAAATAAGAAGAGTTTCCTGGCACATCCAATATTTATGTTCCCTTATCTCAGTACTTGGAAACTCCATGTCAAATTCTATAAACTAGTCATAAAAAATAAGTTTTTAATCAATCGACTCTACCAATCTGCCATCTGACCACGCATCACTGACAACATCCAACACATTCTAGCACCTACCAACTGCCACACAGTGGCAACAGTGCAGGCCAGCGCAGCGAGGGGACACACACCTGCGCTCCCAAGCCCCAGCACAGCTGCTCTGCCTGCGTCAATGCACCCAGTCCCTCGGGTGGCGCAGAACTTCCAGAATTTCAGCTTCTTTGGAATTCTCTGAGGGTGAATGCATGTACTCCCATCTATGAGTGTCCAAAACAAACCAAATAATAATAAACATATATAACTCATAAATGAAAAATAAAATTCCAAGACAGAAAAAAAAAAAGTCTTATATCTCTTTGTCTCTACTGCGCCTATTGTGCCTAGCACCCACTAGACTTTTATTTGTGGCTAAATAAATAAAGTTACTTAACAATACTGGAGCATATTTTGGCTAACATTAACAGCCCAGAGTCAAAATACACTTGCAATATAAATTAGGGTTTCTTAAAGTGTAGAACTTTGGTTGACCCACGGGCCAACTTTTTTAGCTTAATGTTGATGCCTACCTCTTCCCAGAAGAAAAACAGATAGGGCAGGTGAGTCTCTCGCAAAACCAGACACCACAACCCAGCGACTCAGGCTACCTTCTCACTCCTCTTCAACACCTGTTCTCACATGCAAAGTTGTGTCATTCAGTCCTGTCACCCTTTTAAAACTCCATCTGATTGGCCTTAATTATTCGACTGTGATTTTCTTATAAAATCAGCAGAGTCAAAATCAACTAATAGTTAGGGCATTTTCAGTGTTAACGTTCACACTTCGTGGGAGTCCAGGAATTGGGATGGGTGAATTAGTAGAATGAGCTATGTCCTTACCGTGCAGTGAGAGGTAGTGACATCAAGATGCTTTCAATCCTGGACCCTGGAGTGAAGAGGCCGAACTTTGTACCCCGATCATACAGCAGGTTAAATTCAACATACCTGACATGAAGACATCAATAACATTAATGGTGAGCAGGGTGAAATCTTTCTTAAGAAAGATGAACCCATAATGAATATTTAACAGGGATCTCCTGCCAGTTCCCATTAGCTGGAACTGGCACAGAGGACACCAGCCTGCCGCCCACTGTGCTTTCTCCATCTGGGCAGGCACAAATAAAAGGGTATTCTACCCAGTAAACAATAGGTGACAGATTCTGTCCCAACACAGAGCAGTTCTAAAACAAGAAGGTTATGTTTTCCCATAAATAAACAGAAAGGACACAAAGCTGAGAACTTTCAGGGACAGCAACAATGAAGAAAAGAGCCTCCTTTCTCGGGCTACCACAGCTCTGGCCCTCTCCATAGTCCAGGATGTTTCGGAGTACATTTCATGTACTGTCACTCACAAGTACTACAGCCAACACAGTGTAAAACTTTTGTAACTGAAAGGCCAAATACTTCTAAGGGCAATCTATTAAGAACGAGGTAACCGCCTTTACAAAGTAGTCAACAGCATGAACATGTACTCATGATTCAGTCTTCCCGGATAACAAAAGGTACTGTTTCCGAGTTGCAGTGCTGCTGTTTTGCTTTATTTTTAGAAAAACATCATCAGCATCAACCAAAACTTGGTTCAGTGTATTAGTTCTCCCACAAGTGCTATAGAGTCAGATCTGGACCCCATCCAGAGCCTACAAATCTGGGCCTGCCTTTAACACCCTGGGATAGAAAAGGACCTCTTCTCATCAAGTTCAAAAGAGTAATTTCTACGAAACAAAAGAATGTAGATTCAGAAATCTGAAAGTCAATCAAAAGCCCCCCAACCAGATCACTTCTCAACTCCTGACTACTTTCTTGACCCAAACTGCACTCAGATATTCTCACTTCTCTCACTCTACTGTCCTAAGCCTACCTATAGCCAAATTTCTAGAATCTCTACTTACTCTATTTTTAAAAGCACCTTTGTTGGGCCGGCGCCGCGGCTCAATAGGCTAATCCTCCACCTAGCGGCGCCGGCACCCCGAGTTCTAGTCCCGGTCGGAGCGCCGGATTCTGTCCCGGTTGCCCCTCTTCCAGGCCAGCTCTCTGCTGTGGCCAGGGAGTGCAGTGGAGGATGGCCCAAGTACTTGGGCCCTGCACTCCATAGGAGACCAGGAGAAGCACCTGGCTCCTGTCTTCAGATCAGCACGGTGTGCCGGCCGCAGCGCGCCAGCCATGGCGGCCATTGGAGGGTGAACCAACGGCAAAAAGGAAGACCTTCCTTTCTCTCTGTCTCTCTCTCTCACTATCCACTCTGCCTGTCAAAAAAAAAAAAAAAAAAAAAAAACCTTTGCATGAGGAAACTTATCAAAGGACCTACAGAAATTTAAATAATGGGATCTCACAGATCCTAATTCTTAAATAATGGGATCTCACAGATCCTAATTCTCACCGGATATTTTTAACCGATTCATTTTAAGGCATTCATGACTATGAGTATTTAATACAAAGAAGTTCAAAAAGTTTATGGAAAAGTGAAATTAAAAGATAAGTTTATGGGGCCAGCATTGCAGCATAGTATATGGATGCTGATTCAAGTCCTGGCTGCTCCACTTCCAGACCAGCTCCCTGCTAACGGCCTGGGAAAAGCAGTGTAAGATGGCTCAAGCACTTGTGCCTCTGTCGTCCACATGGGAGACCTGGATGAAGCTCCTGGCTTTGGCCTGACTCGGACCTGGTTGTTGTGGACACTTGGGGAGTGAACCAGGGGATGGAAGAGCTCCGTCTCTCCCTCTCTCCCTGTAACTCTTTCAAACAAATAAATCTTTCTTAAAAAGGAAAAAAATGTTGGCTGGTGCCATGGCTCATTTGGCTAATCCTCCAACTACGGCACCGGCACTCCGGGTTCTAGTCCCAGTTGGGATGCCAGAATCTGTCCCGGTTGCTCCTCTTCCAGTCCAACTCTCTGCTGTGGCCCGGGAAGGCAGTGGAGGATGGCCCAAGTGCTTGGGCCCTGCACCCGCATGGGAGACCAGGAGGAAGCAACTGACTCCTGGCTTCGGATTGGTGCAGCGCACTGGCTGTAGTGGCCATTTGGGGGGTGAACCAATGGAAGGAACACCTTTCTCTCTGTCTCTCTCTCTCTCACTGTCTAACTCTGCCTGTCCAAAAAAAAAGTTTATTTTGGTGCCAAAAAATGTGAAATCCACAGAAAGTTTTTTCATAAGATACATTTTCCACAAACTGTGTAAAGTACTCTCATACTTTCTTGTGTCTGTTTGAAAAGATAGTTGAAATGAATCTTTTGAAGTCATTCCCAGGACCATGAATTCACCTCCTGACTCCCTTTTTTCACCTTTCTAAAATATGACCGCTACAAGATAACTGCAATTACCTCGTTTGTATTATTGTGTTCATTAAGTAATATATTCAGACCCTCATAAGAGGCTCCCTAGATGAGTTTTCTGCAGGATCTCTGAGTTCATTTCCTTTTTTGAGTGGAGGATGTGTGGGGAGCAGCCCGGACTGGACTGAGTTACTGGAATTAAGACTTATTCTATGCATCTGCTCTCCCACAATATGGCGCTGGGAGAGAAGTAAACAGCTTCCGCACAGCTGCCTCCAGTTCAACCAATAAACTGTAGGACTTGCTCCTGATTGGAGAGCAGCGTACTCGGCGTGTGGGCAGCCGAGTTAGGATTGGCGGAGCAGGACTATAAAGGAGGAGAGAGACGGCATGCACCAGGAACATCTAAGGGGAACATCTAAGGGAACGCCTGTGCAGCCCCCGAGAAAGCCGGCCGGCGGTGTGCTGCTCCCCTGCGGAAGTGGGGAATGTGGCCAGGGGGAACTGCCCTTCCACGGAGGTGGAAGGGATAGTAGCCAACCCGGGAAGAACCAGCAGCAAACCCGGGGAGGGCCGAGCAGACGAAAGAACAGTGCAGGGTCCTGTGTCGTTCCTCCGCGAAGAGGGGGAGCGACATAATGGTGCCGTGACTCGGATATGAAGCCTAGGCAGGGCTTAGTGTCGTTCCTCCACGAAGAGGGGGAGCGACATAATGGTGCCGTGACTCGGATGTGAAGCCTAGGCAGGGCTTAGTGTCGTTCCTCCACGAAGAGGGGGAGCGACAGGATGCCCTTTGTTCTACATTCTGACTCCTGGCAGATTTTACTTAGATCAGACCATCCTAGTCCTTTTCACATGTATATCCTTTTTGAAATGCCTGAGAGTTATGAACTTGAACCAATCCTTTCAATTTAATGCCTAAATTTTACCCCACTTCTCTTTCCTAAAGTAAAACAAAACAGAAAGTTAAAGGCCTTTAGTTTTTATTCTATGAAAAAAAAAATAACTACAAGACTTAAGTCCAAAATCTGGGGAGAATAGTGATAACTGCGGGCAAGACTGGATGAGAATGACAAATAGGAAATCTTAGTCCTAGGGAAAGCAGACTGACCACTGAAAGGGAGAAGTGGGAGCAGGAAGAATCATGCAAGAAGCATATACATAACAGGTTATGAATGCAGAGTAAGGAACTGAAGACAGTGCTGATAATCCCAGGGAAGGCCTCAGGTAATCTTAAACTCCAGAGCTTATGCCATCTTAAACTGCAGAATGAGGCCCTGTTGGAACAGTCACAAAATATACCTCAAAAAATTAATCTAACAGGCCCAAATTCTGCCTAAACCAAAAGATATCAGATGAGATGGGCGTCTGGTGTTGCAATCAAGACACTTTAAAATGCCTACATCCCATACTGGAGTGCCTGGGTTCAATACCTGGCTCCAGTTCTTGACTCCAGCTTCCTGCTAATGTAGACCCTGGTGATGGGTCAACTCATTGGGTTCCTGACACCCACTTGGGAGACTTAGATTGAGTTCCCAGCTCCTTGCACCTCTGGCTGTTATGGGCATTCTGGGAATGAATCAGTAGATGGGAACAGTCTCACATTCTCTCTGCCTCTCAAATATATTTTTGAAGACACTAAATGTAAAACGATACACATACAATGGAACTTTCGGAATGATTTGCCATTACAAAATGTAAACAAAACGAGAAATTTCTACAGCTAAGATATAGACTTCACCTAATTAGTATTCACAAAATCTGCCAGCTCTGTACATGAAATCTTGCACACATCTCAAACACTTTACTTTCCATAGAGTTTTACATCATCTTCCTATGTATGTCTTCCCACCAAACTCTAAGCCTTTTCTGTAGTAGATCCACAGTATGCCCATCTTTGCAGCCAGGCCAGGGTTCCGACCATCGGGGGCCCACTACAAATGCCAAGTGAAAAAAGGAAAGATTGGCAAAAGTGTATTTGAGAAATTATGGAAACAAACAAATAAACAGAGAAATCACAAAACAGATGCCATCAAGAAATTTCTGAAGTGAAAATATAGTCAAATTTCATTTTTCCAAGTTGATAAATAGGGACTCTATTATACAGGCAACCATAAGAAAACTAAATAGAGACATTTCTCTCTAGATTCAGAGCATTATTTAAGTTGACCTCTTTAGGGCAAAACTTTTCCCTCTTAGTACCCAAAGCTTCATGCCTCAGAATTAACATAAATGAGAAAAACCACTTTATAATCACGGACCAGTGGCCTGTATGAAATTAAGACGGCAATGAGATACTGATGTGGGCTGGCAGGATTGGTAATTTGGAGCTGATTCACAAGTACACAGTGCCTGAAGATGACCTCAGATTTGTCACCCAACTGAGATCATTAAGTTCAATGCACAAAACAGTGTGGCCAAGCTAAGTATCCTGCTTCAACTACTTCACTTCCTTTACGTACTGGACAGACTAAGTTTTGAAGTCATGGTAACTCGCGTCCATATCTGAGACCAGCTGTTTCATCGAAGGCATTTTCTGAGAGTAAGTTACCTCACCTGTAAAATGATAATTATATCTATCTCACAGCTTTGCTGAGAAAATCGGATGTAAAATGCCTATCTCGGTGGTTATACACAGAAAGGGCTCCAAAAATTGTAAGATTTGTCATTAAACGGGACCGGTGCTGTGGCGCAGTGGGTTAACGCCCTGGCCTGAAGCGCCGGCATCCCATATGGGTGCCGGTTCTAGTCCTGGCTGCTCCTCTTCTGATCCAGCTCTCTGCAATGGCCTGGGAAAGCAGTAAAAGATGGCCCAAGTCCTTGGGCCCCTGCACCCACGTGGGAGACCAAGAAGAAGCTCCTGGCTTTGGATTGGCACAGCTCCAGCTGTTGCGGCCAATTGGGGAGTGAACCAGCAGATGGAAGACCTCTCTCTCCCTTTCTCTCTGCCTCTCCTCTCTCTGTGTAACTCTTTCAAATAAATAAATCTTTAAAAAAAATTTTGTCATTAAATGTAAGTAATTTCTGAAATTGTTATTTCCATTAAAGTAACTTCCATGAAATCTTTATGATGAGTGGGAAAAAAGGTGTGACTCAAAATTTAGAAAGCAGCAAAAACATTAAATGATGCCCATTTTAGCATAAGGTTAAAGGGTATTGTTAGAAGCCTAAAAGAAATCAGCTGAATTAAATTCAGCAAGGATTTACTGCAGACCTACTATGCGTCTCTAATATACAGATGAACTAAATGAAATTTGCTAGCTTTAGAATACCAATTTAAATGCTGTTTTTAACTCATCTAATGTTCATCTGGTTATGAAAAGCATCAACACAATTACTACAGAGAATCTGTGCAAGACAACACACTGCAGACTAGTTTTGCACTCACCGTCCTCTTCTGAGTTGCTGCCACAGCTTCTCTTGGGGCGTGAATGAGTCATCACAGTGCTTTTTCACAAGGGGAATATAAGAAGGTACGACTGCCTGGGCACAGCTCTGCACAAAGCGAAACACCTCCTCCTTGGATGGAGAGTCAAGGTCATCGAAAAAAATCCCACCGATGCCCCTCCGCTCTCCACGATGGGCTATAAAAAAGTAATCGTCACACCTAGAAAATGCAGCCGGGCCAAATGGGGAAGAGAAGAGGGTGGGGAGGAGAAGAACAGGAAAATCAGTGTGACTCTTTCAGTTCAGAGCACTATCCTTCACTAACAACCAGTTTAGTGTCCTTTCTGCCCATCTAGGAAAATGAAACTTTAGATAGAGCTTTTGCATCGATAGTCACTGGAGAAAACGCTGATACTTGTGTCAGACGAGCAACCAGGCAACTTACCTAACTTACCAACTGAATCCTAACAGGCTGAGTGTAAAGAGAGTCTGGTATCAACACTGCTTTCCTGAAACAGTGAGGCTACTGCCTTGAGAAGTATAGCTGCTTCTATAAGAGGAGGGCATGGATCTTCTTCTAATAATGACACCACCCAGGCAAAATCCTGACTCTCTGGTCAGTTCTGTATTCCCCAAAGAAAGGTACTGTAAACAATATCTAAGGCTGCTTTTGGCAATAAAATCTGCTGGCTCTATAGCATGCATAACTGGGGGAAGGGCGGTGGAAGAAACTGTTCAGGCACATTAGAGTTTATACCCTTGTGAGCTCACACATGAAACTATCAATCTGTTCTACAGTTTTTTCCTTTCTGTGTCTACCAAACAAGTTTCCTAAGGAAACCACTTCCTAAATGCTAAGCTCATAAAACAGTTCACACCTGGGAAATAGTTCTTTTGATAATCTGCATATAATAAGGGTCTCTATGAGGAAATACCTGTTTAAACAAACAAAAAAATGCTATCTAAAAGGTCACTTTAAACATAGCCCTGATATGAGCCGGTGCTGTGGCATAGCAGGTTAAGCCCCGACCTGTGGCACTGGCATCCCATATGGGCACTGGTTCGAGTCCTGGCTGTTTCACTTCTGATCCAGCTCTCTGCTAACGGCCTGGGAAAGCAGTAGTAGAGGACAACTCAAGTGTATGGGCCCCTACACCTGCATGGGAGACCCAGAAGAAGCTCCTGGCTTCTGGCTTCAGATCAGTCCAACTCCAGTAGCTGTGGCTATTTGGGGAGTGAGTCAGCAGCTGGAAAACATCTCCCTCTCTCTCTGTCTGTAACCTGTAACTCTGCCTCTTGAATAAATAAATAAATCTTAAAAAAAAAATGGTATGTTTTGAGTTTAAGCTATCCGGGCTGTAAGACAGGAGCTGCAAACCCCTGGAACTGATGTCCTGGTATATTTCACCTTATCTGTAACTTGTTGAGTTTCTTTTATGTGCATATTAACATGGTTAAAATGTGTACCACTAACAAGGTTATGAAACCAGCTTTTAAGCCGAATCACATTATTTCATAATCTCTCTTCACAAGATAACAAAGTTAAGAAATTTACTCATAACTATTCTAAAAAACTCTTGTAACAATGACTGGGACTGGGCCAAGCCAGAGCCAGGATCTGGAACTCCATCCAGGCCTCCCACACGGGTAACAGGGGCTCAATTACTCGGAACATCTTCCACTGCTTTAGTAGAGAGTTGGATCAGGAGCACGAGCTGGAGCTCATACCAGATGCTGATGTGGCAGGCCGCAGCTTACGTTACTGTGCCACAACATGGGCTCCTCTCCTGAGGATTTTGAGGCTGAAGTCCGTGCTCTTGTATAAATGATGGTAACATTTCACAATGATTAGCTCTAAAAGTAAAGAAAAATGAGAAGAGCCTCTTAGTTATATCTCTTTCAAGAATCCCAATTTGGGAGCTAGCACTGTGGCACAACGGATTAAGCCATTACTTGCAATGCCAGCATGTCATATCAGAGAGCTGGTTCAGTCCAGTTCCTTGCTAATGCAGCTGGGAAAGCAACAGAAAATCACTCATGTACTTAGGCCCCTACCTGCGATGTGGGAGACCCAGATGGAGCTCCTGGTTCCTGGCTCCAGCCTGGCCCAGCCAGGGCAATGGGAGCATTTGGGGAGTGATCCAGCAGATGGAGGATCTCTCTCTCTCTCTCTCTCTCTCTCTCAGTCACTCTACCTTTCAAATGAATAAATCTTTAAAAAAAAAAAAAGTCCATTTTCTTCAAGCAGAATCAAGTACTTGATGCCTAAACAATTTATGTCCACTCCATGTGATATCTAACAAATATCCTGTACCTTCTCACGTGCTGAGTGTATGCTTGTCTTTCCTTACGTTGTTATTAGCATTAACAAAATCTCCAATGGCACTCTTGTCCAAAATCTGTCACACTGGCATCTCTCCCTTATCAGTCCCCAACCCTTCTGATGCCCTCACATACTCGCAAATCAATGTCAGCATAGTAACTCTCATGTGGGGTAGGAATCCAACATCCTGCCCTAGGATTAAAGCACCTCTGATTTTCAGGCCTACATCACTTTATGGCTGATAGTCTACATTTTCTAGTATCAGTAAAAGAGACTGCTGGGGCTGGTGCTGTGGCGTAACGGGTAAAGCCACTGCCTGCAGTGCCGGCATTCCATATGGGTGCCAATTCGAGTCCTGGCTGCTTCACTTCCAATCCAGCTCTCTGCTATGACTTGGGAAAGCAGCAGAAGATGGCCCAGGTCCTTGGACCCCTGCACCCATGTGGGAGACATGGAAGAATCTCCTAGCTCCTGGCTTCAGATTGCCCCAGCTCTGGCAGTTGTGGCCTTTTGGGGAGTGCACCAGGAGATGGAAGACCTTTCTCTCTCTGCCTCTGCCTCTCTGTAACTCTTTCAAATAAATAAATAAAAATCTTTAAAAAACACACAAAAAAGATGCTGTTACTCAGTGTGTTACAGACATAATAACATTCTTAGGTTAAAAAAAATTAAAATCACTTAAAACTGGTATTCCACTTATTCTGGTGAGCAAAATAAGAAAAGAGTTCAACCTGCATAAGCTGAAGAAGGTATTTCATGACATAATATTTGTCTTGGGACCCACAGAAGGAAATGGATTATATTTTGGGGGTCATGAAATGTTTATTACCTTTACCTACCATTTTTTAAATTTGGGGTAGAGATCTGGACCGTGCTGATCACAAGCCTCCTTTAAAGTTCTGTGAAAATGGACAGCGTCCTCTTGGTTCAAGTACGTTGGAGTGAGGTCACATCCACCACCAAACCACCACTGCTTGTTACCTACCAAAATAAGACATGAGATTCTGATGTGGACTTTGACACTCAGCAGTACTACTGATGATATTAGCAAACTTAATTCACTAGCCTAATTTACTAAGGATAAAATGGTGACATTCAAAAAACCTTTAAAAAAATAAAGAAAAAAGAAACCTTTAGCTCAGTTTCACTCCAAAGACCACGAAGTGTTAGGAAAGAAGAGGTAAAAGCAGAAAGAAAGGAAAATGAGAAATTAAGAAGTGAGTAGAACTAGCCTGCAAAGTGATATGTAGAGTGGTGAATGGTAAACACCACACAGGTACACCAGGCAGTGCACCTCAACTCTGGTGTGCATTAAAATCATGAGGGACTTAAAATAACTCTGCTAGGTCACAACTGAAAGGGAAGAAAAAAAAAAAAAAAAAAGGCAAAGCACATTAGTGGCCCAGGCTTCTGTGCTCTACAAAAACTCCCCAGGAGGCTCTCATGCTCCCTGTATTAGGAATCACTGCCGAGGGAGGCAACTTCACCATGTGAGAAGACTGTTTCATGTACTTACTTGGGGCTACGGGTTGTCAACACCAGCTACCAACTTTTAAACATTAAAAGGTGTTACCAAATGGAATGGCTTCAAAATGTAAAGTTAAGGCAGTGACTTTAAATGCTAGCACCTGCAGAGGCACCACTAGGCACAGGTGTTCTGACAAATGGCAACAGACACCCAGTTGACAGGAGACCTAAGCTGAAATTAAGGTACATGAGGCATGATTAAACTCACTGCGTAGATACTATGGACTACCAAAGGTATGCACATGGAAAACACTTTCTGAAAGCCAAGCTCTCAATTTCAACTTGCTTTATCAGGTTTTCCTTCATATGTAATGAATTTATATTTGGCAAGAATGCTGTGTGTACTAGAAGTTCCAGTTCATTATATCACAGCTTCTGTGTTGAAGGAAATACAGCGAAGTCAGAACCAGTCAATCTCACTTTTCATGTCCAGTGTATAATCTATTGCACCTGCCAAAGAAAAAGCCTTCTTCTGCCTCCAATAAACCAAGATAAGACTGTATTCATCTTTTCTCACATTTAGATATGATGCCTTTTTATCTGTTCTAAAGTACACATTTTACACAGTACTGGTATCTACAGATTCACTTACCATCAGCTTCTTCTATTTCAAAGTATCTGTAATTGAAATGGATAGTGGGAGCATGAGGATTCTTGGGATGGATAACAGAGCTCACACCCATTGCACAAAATGGCAGTTTACCTGAAAAGTAAAGTACGTAGTGGGTTACATTCAATCATCCGCCTTACTACCAATTAACTCTCCTGTGATCTGTTTCAATTTTCAACAAAAGCTGCTTTTTGTCTCAAAGTTTTTGCAAAGTATGAATGTACTTATTTGGTATATGCACCAAAAAGGCTTTCTGCAGAAGCAATAATTTTTTAAAATATGAAACTTGTTGGGGCAAAAGGTCTGTAGGGACTATTAAAGGTGGCTGGGATTATCAGAGTATGCTGATTTACCATCTTTCGTCTTCTTCAGAGTTTTTCCTCTGCTCCTCATCTGTTTCGCAGCTTCCTCAGAAAGATTTCCGTGGACAACAGAAATGCTCACCCCAGCCTTTTCAAACACACGTCCATCTTGAAGTACACAGCTGATGCCACCACCTCCTGATAATAAAAAAGTAAAAGAGGGAGAATGTAAGACTATGTGCAAAACTGAAGACAACCCTTGAATGAAACGTGGGGGGATTCGAAGTTATTTTCTTCCTCTGTCTCCTAAATCTCCTACATTATCAGTATGTTTATAATTTTCACGTACAATAAAGTTAGACCATTAGTCTAGTTTTATGACAACAGCAGAGTGGGCCAATACTGGACCACCGCACATCACGGAACTAAATAGTTATTCTGCATTCTTATGCCATCATTCACGACAAATCACTGGAATGTTGTCCCTTCAAATACAACTGTTAAAGAATGGCATCCCTCAGTTATGATACATGGGAGAAAACTAAGGTTAAAACAGGAATGGTGTATATTCAAATTTAAGAGCTCTACTGTTTCAACAATGTTTTTCTCTGCTGTTTGCCTTTTAGGTTTTTCTTTTTAGGCAATTAAACCCTTAATATATTCAAACCTTTATGGGATTTCCAACTTTCCAATAAGTGAAACACATTATTTAGGGGGATAATTAGCTTCCATTAGGGTCATCATAAGGGCATTATTTCAAGAAACTTCATTATTGGCTTTTTTATTTCTTAGACGTTTTAAAGATTTATTAATTTATTTGAAAGGTAGAGCATTAAAGAGAGAGAGATGGGGTGGGAAGGAGAAGAGGGAGAGAGAGGGAGGGGGAGGAGGAGAAGAAAGAAGGGGGAGGGGAAGAGAAAGAGGGGGGAGAAGGGTAGGGAAAGCTGTAAGGGAGGGGGAAAGGAGAGGGGGAGGGCAGAGGGCTATCTTTCATGTGTTCCTTCACTCCCCAAATTGCTACAACACCCAGGACTGGCCAGGGTGAAGCCAGGAGCTCCATCCAGGAGGCAAGGGCCCAACACCAGCTGCCTTCCTAGTTGCATGAACAGGAAGCTGGATGGGAAGCGGAGCAGCCTGGTCTGGAACTGGCACTGGGTTGCAACTGGTGGCTTAGCCTGCTGCAACACAACACCAATCCCTCCAACAATTTTTAGAGCTGGATGGGACATGACATGATCCAGTACAAGCCTTCTATATTCCAGAAGTGAAAACAGAGGTCCAGAGAGAGAAAAATCCCTCATGCAAGATCACACAGCTGGCAAGTGGGCAACTGACACAATCTGTCCAAGCGCTATTTATGTTTCAGATCATTTTCTAAGCATTTTTACATATATTCATCTCATTTAATCCTCATGCTACCCTTAGTTACATTGTTTTTCAGCTGATTTCACAGATGAGGCAACAGAAGCACAAAACAGGTAACTCACATAAATCAGCTAAGACTAGTACTTGAGATTGTGTTCTGGTTCGGTAGTGTTCGCTTGAAAGCATTACAATATGGAGAACACTAGGAAAACCAAATTCAACATCATTTAGTACTGATATGAAAGGATCACAGCTCAAAACCTGCTGGTGAGAAGTTGTGTTGTAGGAAAAGCCAGGAATTCTCCAAGTTTCTGATCAAGATTGAGGGTTTCATCATACAGGCAACAACACGGTGAGGAATATAAAGAAATATATAAGTTTGGCATTGCAAGGAAATACATTCCCAGCAGGAAATCCACTGCCAAACCAACCAACAATTTCTTTTGCAACAGGAAAGAGTTAAGGACATTCTGACATAACCCTCCTCTGGGGAAGTCTGGTTGATACATAGAATGGGGGAACCCAGTTCCTCATCTGGTCTCCAAGGGAGGAAGAAGGGCAAATCCTTTAAGATATCTTTGAGAAAATGTCATTATGGAATTCCAACAATTTTGAAGCGCCCAGTATTAGTGGCAGCAGATCTAGGTCCACACCTGCATGCAGAGGGCTGATGCCCCTCTCAGGGTGCATCTTTTCAGTGGTGTCGCGTCTAAACAAGGGGCCGCTTTGTAGGTAATCTCTACCTAACCCCATCCCTATTCTGAAAGTTCACTGCTTGCAATCCTCTTTTCCCCAATTCCTCCACCGCCAGGGGGCCGACCGCCTCACCTTCCTTCCTCTCCCACCGGTCCACAGAGAAACTGGCGCCCCCGTCTACCTGTGCCAGCGCCTGGCACACCTGGGCCTGGGTCTCCAGGATCAGCAGCTCCATCTTGGTCTTCATGTCGCCTGGCCTCCTCCGCAGCTCGTGCAGGTCGGTCACAGGCAAAGCCATGAAGCACTTGCAGCGGCGGGCCAGCTCGTCTTCCTCCTCGGGCTTCCCGGGAGAGGGGCTGCGCGCCCCCGAGCTCTTGGGCACCATCTCTGCCCGCTGCACGTGTCCGAAGGCGGCGGCGGCGGCCAGCCCTACCAACCCCCCCAAAGCCGCCGCCAGCCCGGTCCCCGGCCAGGGACCGCCTCGCACCGTGGGGCCGTGCCCCAACCCCCGGGTCTGCTCCGTGCCAGCCGTGCCAGGGGGCCGGCAGATGGGTCGGGCCGTGCTGCGCCGCGACCAGGCGCGCAGCTCCCCGCGGCCGCCCCATGCCGCGCGCCAGCAGGGGCCTGTGCCCAACCTGCCCAAGTACAAGGCCATGTCACCCCAGGCAGTGCTCGCGTCGCAGAGTCTAGTCCCGAGCCCGCGAGCCTCACGGGGAGAGGGAACCTTTGGCGGCGAAAAGCGACAGGGGTACGGGTGGCGAGCGGAGCGCGGGGCATTCTGGGAGTTGTAGTCCGGATCCTATCTCCCTCGGCAGCAGCGGAGCGCTGCGCCGGGCCGATAAGAATCCGCCACGCCCAGAAGGGCAGGTCTTGCCGCGCGAGAGCTGGGGCCGGGACCGTGAGACGGCTGCGGGAGCGATAAGACAGGGCATGCCTGTCACGTACAACCTTGGGTTTGCTCAGCCACGGGAGAAGACAAAGTAGGGTTCTAATGCCATGGAAGGGCACTTGGCTCGCCTCATCAGTCCGTCCTAGCCCCTCCAGCGCTTCTAGAGCTGCAGGAGCCGTGGGTTTGGGGCCAGGAAGTTCCTCACCCAAAAGCTAGTTTCTGACGGGAGCCATGGTCCTAAAATAATCCCGGGGAAGAAATGTCCTGGAGTCAAGTCCACATCACAGTTCTGCCCTTGTTTCTGCGGCGCCCACTTGATCGTTTTAGGATTAGGGAAGCAAAGTGACGGCTTTTCTTAACCAGCATAAAACTCCTGCGTGTGAGTGATAAAGAAATAAGGCGTTTAAAAAATGCGTATCCTACTATGGTAGAGGGCTGTAAACTAGGCCAGGCACACGCTCCACCCCACTGTCTCCCGCCGGACCCCCAAGGAAACAGGCACTAGAATTGATACGCAGGGTTTTTGTTCCTGTAACCCTACCGCAGCCTGGATCAGGCCAAGAACAATCGTCAGGGCTAATTTGCCTGTTAAGCATGCAGGATGATTTTAAAGTCTGACAGCAGATAATAATTTAAGCCACTGCTGGTTATGGTTCCCATAATTTTTTCTTACTGGCTGGGATGGACCATCAGAGCCTATGAGTCAAACCAGGCGTTCAAGTTAGTGTACTTTCAAAAGTTCATGGAGGAACCCACACCCTCCCCTCCCCAGCCTCGCGCTGTGAAATCCCCACCTGTTACAAAGAAACTGGGAGAGATGTGGAATAACACTGGTGCGGATGACAAGCAGCCTGATGGACAAAAGGCTGCCAAGCAGAAGGAAAAATACAAGGACACAGCCGCATACCGAGCTAAAGGAAAACCTGATGCAGCAAAATAGGGAGTCATCGAGGCTGAGAAGAGCAAGAAAAACAAGGAAGAGAAGATGTCGATGAAGATGGAGAAGCTGATGATGATGATGAAGTTGGTTCCAGTGCAATTTTTTACTTGTTTATAAAGCATTTAAACCCCACCCCGTACACAACTCACTGTTTTTAAAGAAAAAAATTTGAAGTGTGAGGCTATGTAAGATTTGTTTTTAACCTGTTCAGTGTCTTTCTGTGCAGTTAACACACCACCAAATATATTTTTAGGTAGTCCCGTCCTGGTGGTATTTTTCAATAGCCACTAACCTTGCCTAGTATGGTATGGGGGTTGTAACTTGGCATGGAAATTTAAAACAGGTTCTTGTTGGTGCACAGTACAAGTTGGTTAAATATGGGGACAGTAGATTTTTCATCTTCAGTTGTCTGATGCAGTTTATACAAAATAATTGATCTGTTTCCTGCATACTAGTATAATTGCAAAATAAATGTTGCAGCCGTTTTGTTGACATTCTGAATGCTTCTAAGTAAATACAACTTTTTAAGTAGTATTGTGTGGGGAGCAACCCGGACTAGACTGAGTTACTGGAATTAAGACTTATTCTATGCATCTGCTCTCCCACAATATGGCGCTGGGAGAGGAGAAAACAGCTTCTACGCAGCTGCCTCCAGTTCAACCAATAAACTGTAGGACCTACTCCTGATTGGAGGAGAGCAGCGTACTCGGCGTGTGGGCAGCCGAGTTAGGATTGGCGGAGGAGGACTATAAAGGAGGAGAGAGACGGCATTCACCAGGAACATCTAAGGGGAACATCTAAGGGAACACCTGTGCAGCCCCCGAGAGAGCCGGCCGGCGGTGTGCCGCTCCCCTGCGGAAGTGGGGAAAGTGGCCAGGGGGAACCGCCCTTCCACGGAGGTGGAAGGGACAGTAGCCAACCCGGGAAGAACCAGCAGCAAACCCGGGGAGGGCCGAGCAGATGAAAGAACAGCGCAGGGTCCTGTGTCGTTCCTCCATGAAGAGGGAGAGCGACATAATGGTGCCGTGACTCGGATATGAAGCCTAGGCAGGACTTAGTGTCGTTCCTCCATGAAGAGGGGGAGCGACAGTATTGTCCTTTTCATAGGTCTGGAATTTTTCCTCTTGAGGGGAAGCTAGTCTTGCTTTTGCCCATTCTGGATCACATGAATTATTACAGTGTTACTTATTTCTTCATGTAGTTAGCAGATAAGAAGCTTGTGTCTACACACACTTTATATCATGACTGGGGCAACAAAAGTGAAATTGAGATCATTTCCATCCATAACTGAAACTACAAAACTACAAAATCCTGATCAGCTGATAACAGATTTCACATAACTCACATTTACAAAGAGTAACCAATCTCCTCACAGCATGAGATTACTAGAATCAAACTTTTTCTTTTAGAACCAAACATTTTGAAAGCCTGTCCTTGAAGGACTAATAGAAAAGTATGTTCTAATGTTTATGTGAGGATTTAATATTTAACTTCCATTACTATGTAATGGCAGTTTATTTTGAAGTTCCCACATAAAAGAAAACCTGAGAATCTATCCCCAAAAGTGTGAGTTTAAAAAATAAGACTGCCATAGGAAATTTTTTGTTCCCCATTTGTCCCAGTGAAGGCTATGAAAGTGCTGGCTGTCCATGTCTTCTCCCGTTTATCTAAATATAGACTGCTCAGGGAACTTGAGACTCTCCATTAAAAGTAGTTTTAATTAACTGGACCAGCTCTTGAGATTATAAAGCCACATTTAAAGTAGGGTATATTTTCTTCCATTGTGGTTTTTATAAATCCTTTATAAATCAAGTGGCCATTTAGGGAGAAGACACTCAAAACTTAGCATCTCAGATGAATTATCCAATTTATTTGATTTTTCTTTACAAAATCCAAAGTTATTCATTACAGTCATGTTTATCTGCTTAGCAGTTTAGGGAACAATTTGGCAATTTTGTGGTTTTTGAGATTATTGTTCTCTTAAAGTGCCAGTGTTTCAAAATAGCATTCTTGTAATTTTACATGCTTTTGTGAAAGAGTGCTGTTTTGTTATATAACTTTGACTTGGATTCTTTTCATTTTCCTTTGTTTATGTAATTTCAGGAGGAATACTGAATATCCGAGTCCTAGATGATACTAATAAACTAGTAATTACAGAGCTTTTTTAAAAAAAATAGTTTGTGGAAAATGTAATTACAAGATAAGTTTCTTTTGGTGCAAAATTTGAAAACTCCTTGCAGTTTTTCCTAATATACATTCTTCATGAACTTTTTGAAGACTCCACATATGTTATAGGTTCCCAATAGCATCTGGCAGCTTTCACACTGAGACACAATGTTGGATATGTGGCCATGCTTCCAGTTAATGGAGTCAATGAAAGGTAAAGGCCTGGATTGAAAAATGAATGGGCTACTTGTAGGGAAGAAAAGCCATTAGCTTTCAGCTACAGTGTAACCTACCAGGAGGCTGAGTTAGCAAAGGAGGAAAGGAAAGATAAGAATTATTTCTCTACGAAGGGTTGTTTGTCTCTTCTGGATGCCTGTGATGGGGTTTGGCTGGGCCTGGTGATGATAAATGAGTCTCATTAATGAGAGAAAGCTCTCTGGCCCATTTATCTCTGTAAGAAACCCCTTCATTTTTTTCTCTGAATCCGAATACCCAAGCAGTTGGTAAAAGATAAACAGGAGCAGGCTGCTTGGATTATTGCCTTGTCCGGGCAGCTGGTCCTGAGCAAATTGTGTCCTAGGTTTCAGCTCTGATCCCTTCCCACCTGTAGCTTCTCCCTGGAAAGGGCCTTCTCTCTGTTCCTCCCCTGCTTCCCAGCACCTCCCTACCTTTAACCTATGCTTAGGAGGGACCTCAACAGTCTAGTTAGTGTGAGTTTAAATCAGCTTCCCATGGGTTCAAATTGGCCCCAACACCTGTATTTAAGTCTTGTTAGTGTGAAATAAAAGATATCCTCTATCTAGGCAATTTCATGCATCAGGAACCCTTTTCAAAAGGACAACTGAAAAGTTTACAAATTATAAAATATAAGATGTAAAGTTGAGGGTTTTATCTACTTTTTTTTTAAACTCGGCTTCCTGTACTGCCTTTTTTTTTTTTTTTTTTTTTTTTGACAAAGTGGACAGTGAGAGAGAGAGAGAGAGAAAGGTCTTCCTTTTTTGCCGTTGGTTCACCCTCCAATGGCCGCCGCGGCCAGCGCGCTGCAGCTGGTGGACCGCGCTGATCCGATGGCAGGAGCCAGGTACTTATCCTGGTCTCCATTGGGGTGCAGGGCCCAAGCACTTGGGCCATCCTCCACTGCACTCCTGGGCCACAGCAGAGAGCTGGCCTGGAAGAGGGGCAACTGGGACAGAATCCGGTGCCCTGACTGGGACCAGAACCTGGTGGGCTGGCGCCGCAGGGTGGAGGATTAGCCTAGTGAGCCGCAGCGCCGGCCCCTGTACTGCTTTTGTAACTTTATTTTCTATGTAGCCCCACCAGCAAACAACACTCTGACTAGTCTTATCCAGATTTACTGGGTATAGGTATATAAGTACTGTTTGTCAAATTGCACATACTTCTCAGAATCTTCCATGAACTTTATCCTTGCTCTGACTCCTAAAGACCTGTTGAACATAATCGATTTTTAGCCTGCTGGTTCATTAGTTGTCCCTTTTTCTATAGAGAATCTGAGGGAGTTCTGGCTTTTATCCCTCTGGTAGCTGTTGTTATTGAATTATATTATTTTCATTAATTCCCAAATTTTGACAGCTAAATAAAAAAAAGCTACTAAAGTGACAGTTCTGTTGCTTTCAGATCAATACAGAAAGTCACATTAATTAGTAGCAAAGTATTGCTAAACATATGTGTTTGCCTTGGCATGCTTCTGCCCAACTTATCAGAAATTCTGATAGGGTAGATGGGGTTATGGGAATGAGATTAGCAAAGGAGTAGAAATTTTGAAATTTCTACTCTAATTTTGTTCT